TTCTCATTAATTTTAGATTTTAAGAAAAAAAATTAGCAAGCACCCGTGTAATACACAGATGTTGTACAAGTAATCATGAAATCCGTAAAAAAACTCCTCTTCCATCTTAATCCGAATAACTGTCTTGACAAGTTTCATAGACGAAAGCGATTGCTCTGTAGTTGCCGTAGACAACGTGAGAGTCAGAACAAGACGAATTGATAGTGTATGCAACAACAAATTTTATATTTATTTTCTTCGTTCTTTGACCCTCCATTATAATTTAAACCTATCAAATTAACAAAAATTGTAAATTAATCAAGATATAAGCAAAGTAAAACATTTATATAAAAAAAAAAGGTAATCAGGAATGCATTGTGGGTTTTTGTACACAATCATATTATGATTTTCACTATTTAAAAGGATCGAGTAGATGATGGTCAAGCATCCACACCTTTAGTGTTTTTGTACACAATCATATTATGGTTTAGCCTCAATAGTTTTTAAGGAAAGCCCAATTCACACCTTAAAATGGTTTTCACTGTTTTTACCATTCTTTAAATTAGTAAAAATGGGCATTCTCATTCAACAAAGATAATGACAGCTTTGGCAGGAAGAATAACAAGGTAGCTGAGACATCTTACTACTCACCAAAATCAGTAAAAATAGTAAATAAACCCCTAAATCAATAAATTCATCAAACACATCCAAATTAATGGATATCCAAGAAAATAGAAGGAAGTTGTGCTCGGTTCGCTTGATTGGGATTGGCAGTGCGGTGGGATTTTTCTTTCTTTTTTTTTTTCCTTTTTAATTTTTTTTTCTTACGACCATTTTAATGGTGAAGAAGACGATGGATTGAGAATTGGGATAGAAAGAAAAGAAAGGTAATGGATTTTAATATTTTGGACTTTCATTGTTGGCCTACCTTAAAAATATTTTGGGCTTATGTTATTGGGCAAATTCAAACAAATGGGCTAACATAATAATACATGGGGCTATCTACATAAATGGTCCAAAATGTGAATTGTTTTTTTTTTTTAAACTTACCTGGGGCTGGAGCCCACCCTAGCTCATGGGTGGCTCCGCCCCTGGCTGGAGGCCTAGTTTGTTGACCCGAACCGGCCCAGCAGGTCGACCCAGACTCAGTCGACTCAGAGCCGGAACTGGTTCGAGTGAGCTATTTGGTCCGGCAACAAAACTCTCGGTCAAACCCGGCCAAAACCCGGCGAACCCAGCTTTGACTCGGCTGACTCGGTGCATTGACCCGTGGGTTGATCCGACCCATATATATATTTTTATTTTTTTTATTTTTTTTGTTCTTTCGAAAATAAAACTATGTATATATGTTTATATGGTAAATATTATTATGAGATACATATTATTAACACTTTAATGTATAAATTGTATATACAAAACATTTAATTTTGTTATTTTTATTTATATATAATATCACAGAAATACTTTATAAAATATTTATAAATATTTTAAATTAATTATCCAATTCAACAATTAA